CCCCCCCGAAACGCTCCCGCCAAGATGCGCAACGCCAGGACGTTTGCCCACGACCTGAAGGGCAACAAGCCCCGCATGGTGAGTTGCGAGGACGTCCACGTGCGAGCTGCGCAGCGCGCGTGACTAACAGCGCCACTCCTCACCCACACCACCTCCACTTTGGTCCACTGCTAGGCGTGGTCAGCGGACAATCTGTACAGTCTCATTGCGAGATCCACAGTGCCAAACTTTGTTCGAGAGACGACATTCAGGGCGACTGCATTGACGATGTACCAACAGCGGTGGAGGAGCAAGCGATTGCTGAGATCCTACCACGGAGATTGGTTGCCCGAGAAGCGCTTCAAGCGGTGGTTCTTGCCTACAGCCCTGCCTGCTCTGCTCAGAGATGCCATCCCATCTTCGAAATCCACAGCAGCAGGCGCTAGGGATCGTCTCGCCCTGAGTCGAAGCGCTTCCAGTTCCGCTTCTGGCAAACCCTTGCTTCCCGGCTTTGGTCACGACGAGCCATCTGCAGATCAACAGATGCCAGTCGCCAGTCTTTTTGTTCGAGAAATCGAGAGGCGCCTGGACACGGCCGTTTTCAGAGCTTGCTTTGCACGCAGCGTGTACGAAGCAAGGTCCCTCGTCGTACATGGTCACGTCAACCTGAATGGCTTTAGGGTGAGTGGTCGAGTATGTGGTCTGCAACCGCTTTACGGCACCTAGCTGAACATCGTGTCCATCTCGCTTTCAGATGAGGAATCCAAACACGCTGCTCAACCCTGGAGACCTCATCAGCGTCGACCCTACCTCCATTCCTATGCTCAGCCCCAAACTACGAACCGGCTTGTTTCGCAATGGTGGTTCCGCCGCTTTTGGAGATGATGTAGCGACGGAGCCAGTCAAGCGGACGACGAGACCAGTCAATGCCAAGAACTCAAAGGGAAAGGAGAGGGCAAAGGAGCGCGAGCAAACCAAAGAGGTGAAGGAGGCCAGCAGCGCTCGAGATGAGAGCAAGGATGTTGGCAAGGAGGAGGCAGCTGCGAAGAATCTGGCCGAAGAGCACCTACCGCAACAAACGCAAAAGAAAGTGCAGCTGTCGCCCAGACGACCGCCATTGCTTCCAGCTGGCGTCGAGCCGTTTGTGCTGCCAGCTTATGCAGCGACTCAAATGTTCATTCCG